ACCATGCTATTTGTGATTTCAGGTGACATTTCACACATCACAAATACTTGCTCTATTTCCAGAATCATAGAAAGAAGCATTAGTCTTACCTTCAGCAAAAATAGGTAAACCAACATTATTTTCTGATTTAAGCCCAATTAGTATTTTACCTGTTTTATACAAATTTTGCAATGTACGCTCAAATTGACGATTATCTCTCTAAAGATACAATTTTGCCTCACAAACAATGCGGTTATCGAAGATTTTAACACTGCAGGTGCCCTAATAGATTTAACCGATAACATTGTTAGAGCCTGGGGCCAACGCATGATAATATCATTAGTTCTTCTCCACTTCTCTAAGGCATTCGAAACCATAAATCATCATCTTCTAGTAGCCAAGTGTAAATGTTTGTTTTTTTATTTTTTTCTTAAATATGATTTAGAGCTTTTTTGTAAAGAATACACTGTGACATGGTTTTAACTCCAAAGTGTATCATTTCTTCCCGAGTGCCCAAGTTTGTGTACTTGGGCCACTCCTATCCACTGGGTATATTTCTGGTCTACATGGAGTTGTTATTGTAATATCCAATTCTTTGTCGACGATCCCCAGATGTACAGTCATTTATATAATCACAACATTCAAAGTGCTGAATATTGTAATTATGAAGATCTATTAGTATGCATGCAAAGAGTCATAACCTTCAGTTAAATCCTTCGAAAGTCATTATTTATTTCATTAAAACTCTTTAGAAGCGATGCCAAAAGAAATTTTGAAGTAAACTTGAATGGTGAGACTATAGAAGTGAGTGGTCAGCGAAAATCTTGGGCGTAACTTTAGATGAATGTCTAAATTTTATACCACATGTAAATGATATCAGAAAGAGTTGCTTTTCCGTCTTACCTTAGTTATACCTTTATAAACAATTTCTAAACTTTTTGCAATTATTATGAGACGTAAAATGGAAACGATTTCATCAAATTAACAAATGAAGCGGATTGAGCACACACGGCGGGTTTGCAATCTAGGGTAAAAAGTTCCGAATGTATTTCTGCCTATTGCATTAATTATGGGGTGAAGGTACATGACAAAGCTGGGAGCTAATTCGACCTGCAGTATTCCTCTGTCAAGAATGGCACCAACACATCTGTTTCCACAAGATGCGGACTACATTCACTCTGAATTTGACCATTCACCGCTACGGCCTATATCACAAGAAAATGGCTTCAAGAAGGTTGACTCTGCACTGCCCACAGAGCGCCGACTTCAGTTCTTAAAGGATCATGTTCAGCACAAGCCAGACCCCCTAAGGAAAAAGTCTGTCAAACAGGTACATACAATCAGTCCATAGACATTCTTTTCCTGTGTCACCGGTGGTTCATCTGGAAATGTCACCTCTCACCGATACCTAACGAAGTCAGACGTGACAGCGTGGCCTCAGCGTAGAAAACACTATGATGAGGCGTGGCAGTGATAAGTGTTAGGCCAGAACACTTACGAAGCCCAGCGACACGCCACCGGGAACAAATACAGACGCGGCTGGTGGGTACGCGATTCGTCTTCCGAGATTATTTTTCTAAGATTTAAGGGCTAATGACGTGTGAAATATGCGTAGAACTACCAAGGTTAGGAACATACAAACATACTAGAATTGAGATATAAAGTCTCCATACCCCTACAACCCCCACCTCCAAATTTTTTACCTCTAAAACCTTTAATAAATCATCAGGATTCTCTGAAACCTTAAAAAATGAAGTTAGACCGATTTCTATTCCTTTTTTTTTCGATTTTGACCTTTTTCCGCCGTCACCGGACCGACTTTCAAAAACTACAAAGTTTTTTTGTCCATGGCCTAGTAGCAACAAACATGTGTAAACATTTCATCAAAATCCGAGCGGTACTTTTAAAGTTATAGGCGGTTATAGGATTAGCCGACAGAGAGAGAGAGAGAGAGAGAGAGAGAGAGAGAGAGAGAGAGACCGACACGCCGAGAGAGTGACAGATCTACAGACAGACGGTAATGAGTAACATTTTTGTGATGTACGTGTCATACACCATTCAAAAAATATATCTCATTTTCGGAATTAAAATATTATTAACAAAACAACAGTATTATATTACTCATGTATCAATTATATACATGTATACTTGAACAGTTTTAGAGATATTCCAGTGTCGGATAGACATCAATCTGTTACATTTGCTCGGATGGATATCTACATCTTGGCGAATTCGTGACAGAGAGAGATAGAATATTATGCGATATTTGTTCTCTATGGAAAATCAATTCAACTAGGAGTTGGAGCGTTTCCTTTCCAAAGTCAGTCAGCAAATGTAATGAGGATGTGGAAATAAAGTCATCGCATTACAAGCACTCCATGCAAATAGAGTACTTGCAGTCATCATAAATTTGAGTTATGACTACGTTTAACAGATGGGAAGCGAATGTAAACGCTATGGGGAACAAAAATAATACTTGATCTGTTGCTCAAAAAAAAGTTTTGAATAAACGTCTTTTTCGAAACATGTCATGTCACTAAAAACGGGTGCTGCCGACATTAGATGTGAGCGATCTCAAGTATCGAATCCACTACAATGCAGCGAATTTCTATCCCTAGTTAACCTCAAATCTCTATGAGCTGTCATTATTATCAGTGCAGTATTCTGACTCCACTTCTTCCTTTTAACACAATAGGCTTAGCGCCCCAACTAGCAAAGTAGTGTTATAAGTTTTTGGTAAAGAACTGTTAAGCCGTGAAAGCTCTCTTTTGTTGTTGTCTGGCTTAATGGTGTGCAGTTTATTTGCTCTGAAATGAGGTGTCTAAGGCATTCTTGTAGCATTCTTATACAACGCCTTATAGGATGAATTTTGAAAGGTTGCATAAACGCTTACACAACTATTTTATCCGGAATACTAGCTCGGTAGTCAAAATAGTTGTGGCAGCCATAGTAACAGTTATACAACAAACCTTGTTGTACTGGTGTGCAAAATTACTACTTTAGTCAACAAGTTGCTCCCAAGCATTTATAAAGCTATCATTCAGTAACTGTTAAATGCTATACAACAATATCACAAGTTTCATAGTACAAAATTACTGTGCTCGGCGTACATTTGTTGCTTAATATATAACGGGTGATTTTTTAAGAGGTATAGGATTTGATTTTCAAAAAAAAAACACAAAAAATTTGAAAAAACGATTAAATCTTTATTAGAGTCGATAGAACGGTCGATATAATTTAATGTTTAAAGATTATTTCATGTAAATGGTGGCCGCGGCTCCGCTTTAGATGGCCCATGCGCAAAGTCCAATTTTGGCACGCTCTCTCCAACATATCGGCCGGTATCTCACGAATAAGTGCTTCAATATTGGCTTCCAGTGCGTCAATCGTTGCTGGTTTATCCCTGTAGACATTAGCCTTAACATGGCCCCACAAGAAATAGTCCAACGGCGTGAAATCACACGATCTAGGCGGCCAATTGACGGGCCCCAAACGTGAGATAAACTGTTCACCGAACTCGCCTCTCAATCAATAGGGCCATTGTTTCGTGTGCGGTGTGGCATGTGGCACCGTCTTGTTGAAATCACATATCAGCCAAGTCCAGCTCTTCCATTTTGGGCAAAAAAAAGTTTGTTATCAGCGAACGGTAGCGCTCGCCATTCACAGTTACGTTGCGGCCATTGTCGTCTTTGAAGAAGTACGGCCCGATGATACCCCCGGCCCATAATCCACACCAAACAGTGATCTTTTCGGCATGCATTGGTAGCACTTGCAATGCTTCTGGCTGGTGTTCACTCCAGATGCGGCAATTTTGCTTGTTTAACGTACCCATTCAACCAGAAATGAGCTTCGTCGCTGAACACAATTTTTCGTTAAAAATGTGGATCTTCCTCCAACTTTGCCAGCGCCCATTCACCAAATGGGAAACGTTGTGGGAGGTCATGTGGCTTCAATTCTTGCACCAGCTGTATCTTATAAGGTTTTACACCCAAATCCTGTCGCAAAATTTTCCACGTAGTGGAGTAACAGAGGCCCAATTGCTGCGAGCGGCGGCGAATCGACATTTCACGGTCATCACTAACACTGGCGGATACAGCCGCAATATTTTCTTCAGTCCTCACTCTACGTCTGCGTGTTGGTGGCTTAATGTCCAATAATGTAAATTGGGTTCGAAATTTAGTCACAAGCTTCCGAATAGCTCCCTCAGTAGGCCGACCAAATTGCCCATAAATTGGAAGCAGTGCTCGATGCACTCTCTTAACCGAGCATGCATTTTGATAGTAAAATTCAAGAATTTGCAAGCGTTGTTTGTTCGTAAGTCGATTCATGTTTAAATTATAGACCAAACTGAACAAGTTTGACAATCACACAAGACACGATTCACGCGTCATCTGTCAAAAACAGTGTTGCCGAAAAGATACTAGCAAAAAAAAATCACCCATTACATATAAACTAAGTTCCTGCTATCATCTATTTAAGTTAAAAACCGTAACTAATATTTTACTTCTTCAAGACAAGCAACACATGAATATTCGGTTCAAGTTTTTATCAATTTTTCAAATAAAAAGCTTATATCTATTACAAACTCTAAGTAAAGCATTCGACTCTGTTCATATTTCATTTCAGAAATTTGATAAAATATATATATCCTGCAGCCCTTATACAACATCTCAAGTGACTGAAGTGACCTATAAGGTTTGCCCATTCCGCTTGTATAGATGTTCTAAGAACGCTTTGCCAATGCAACCCTTCTAGGAATAACAACTGTCAGTTTGGAGTTATTACTGCAAAGATACTTTCATGTAAAAGTGGCAGTATAAGAAATTCTCGGATTAGTAGATATTGCATTATGTTGGTTAAGTCATCCTCCGTCAATGTCCTTTTAAAAATAACGAATAGATTGCATTAACCACAATCTCTTTCAATGCATCTGGCACATTGATGTCCCATTAAACTAGGTTTATGTACCGTAGAAGATCCTTTTATATATACATTTAGTTACGTATATTTTTATTGCACAGTCAGCACATCCCGAAGCTATAAAGCTTGACCTCCTTAGCTGCTGGGATCTAAAGCAGCCGAATCGATCTAATGCTGCAGTAAGGATGCACTGTGTCGTGAAATGTGGATTAAGCGATTTTTTTGCTGCCAACATTTGGGACGATAAAGAGGTAATATTATAAGTTGACACATCCTTAACGCGTGGAACGTAATTTCAGACAAAGGGGAGAGGCATTTACTAGGTCATCCAGCGTATAACAAGGACAGGGAACGTTCGACTATATATTAAAACTGCATTGCAATTTTAATTTATTGATTTGATTATGTTAATGCATGTGCCGGTATCTGGCGAAATGAAAATATATTAGTGGTAGTATTATTATACATAGTACAAACACATGGTACAAACGGCAAGTCGCAAAAAAATAAAGATGAAAAAATGTGTTATCCGAAAAAACATTCTTAGAATATGCAAAAATGAGAAAAAATCTTATGTACATATGTAACACATTGAGATAGTTGACAAAATTAAAAGTCATGTAAACACAATATTCTAAAAGAACTATTTTTAACGTTAGCAACATCCACAATTTAAAAAATCGTTAATAGAGTAAAAACATTTATCAACTAGATAATTAAAAATCATTCTTTTAAAACTTCTTCATGTCTATAATTTGGTTTTCAAATTATCGCGATTTCAGTAGTGTTCCAAAGCTATTGCTGGTTCACCCGATATGCTCGTATGTTGATATTTTGTTCAGTAATGACATCACCCAGACTGTAGATAATGCCTTTAGCCGTCAAAAATAGCATCTAAAACTTAACGATCGCTGCTACGTTGATGCTCTTAAACAAAATGATTTTTGAGTGAAGCAATATTAAAGAAACAGGCCACTTTAGTTACGGGAAAGTCGATCACCATTATGGAAATCTACTCATCGCTATAAAACTATGGATGGTGAGAGACTTGCTACTTAAGTTAACTTAAGTGAGTGGGGCATACAATCATTGTTCCACAGTTGTAGGTTGATGCTGAATTATGAAATTACTTCAAATATATCAAGAGAAACTAGAAAAGACTTTTAAAGAAATAATATTCAAGATTATGGAATGCTCCTACGGTGTGTTTTATTCCATGATCACTTACCCTTATTGCTAAATTCAAATCAGTGTTAGCTAGTCCTCATGATTCTTGAAAATAGGTCTAGTGGCGGTGGAGAACAATGTCGAAAACAAAAAAATTGAAATTGCTCAAACTTTGTTTTTCAGCGTTTCGTAAGATACTGATCATTGAAATAAGTCACGTGATCGCGAGGTGGCTGCCGATTCTGGCTTCGGGATAGAACCATCATGTTGAGCCTATCCTGATCATTTTTGAAACATTATGTAGGGCTAAAAAATTGGAAGGTGGAGGAGGATGCTAGCTTCTAATGAATTTAAGCAGGAGGAACCTTTTTGCTCTTAAAAACCGTATTACTGAGCGCAATTCACAAACGGCGAGTTTACTGATTGACATGGCGACAAACAAACCAGTATAACCACACAGCCAACACCGTCAGAGTTGCGAAACGCAAAGGCGGCAGAGTGAGGGACTGGCCAAGAGTGTGTGAGGTTAAAAGAACGTCATCTGACAGGATGAGCGGGCATAATGCTCAATTGGTTTTCGGTTCAAAAATTACACTTATACAAAGCGAGATATCCTTGTACAGTCATTGTTTGTACGGGTTTCTGCTAGACCATGATGGCTCCTGAGCAACTTAGATAAGGTAATGTTTGATGACTTAATGGAAGATCGTTCTTATAAAAACGAACTAAAACCACCTTATCCCTTTTTCATTAGATTGTGTAAGTGTGCTTTCGGCTACTACTATTTCGTTAAAACAAAAGCGGGAACCGTCTAGAACATTGCGATGCGTAACATAAATCAATTCTGTTTAGCATAAATTTAATTTACGAAGTCAAATGCTCGTAAAATGTTGCAGCAGCGATCCCCTTCATAATGATTAAATCCCTGTTGGGGACCTCTAAGCGACGCTTCTCCCTAGCGATGTGGCGCCGGAATCAATTTTTGGAGCAATTTCGATGTACTCATGATCGTTTGGCGGTGGAACGTTTCTGCATAAATGAGCAAGTAAATGTATTTACCAAATGCGCCATACGAGACACTGTCTGTACCCTCATAATGTAAAGGTCTCTTATACGAATGCCTATAAAATTCCTTATAAGCTTTACAGTCTGATCCAAAGTAGCAATATTTGCAGGTCAAAAAGCAACAAAGTGGGTAGAGTTCAAACAATTTCACATATGATATAAAAAATGTAAAATATTGGTATACCTTCTAGAGAATTTGATCCAACAAGACCTACTACTTAATTTTCACTTCGTATAGGTACATTACTGAACTTTGAACCTGTCCGAATTAAAAATGGCAAAATTTGTGAGGCTGACTATGTTAAACATCCAGGCATCCTACTAGATAAGCACCTTCGCTTTAAAGTTTCGACAATTATTACCAAAATCTTGGTTTCTTTGAAAATGTCTAGATGATATTTAAATTTTATATTACTCCCTTGTGCAAGCACACTAAATCCAAATTTACCTGAAAAGTTTGGATACAACAGAAATGCATTTTAAGCACTATTTATAATAAAGAGTCTACAGGCTTTTGCCGCACTATCTAACGAATCAAATAAATGGATGTTATACAATTATGCTGACACTGTCCATTATCCTGACAAACAACAAAATAATGCTGATTTCAAGTGTCATATGCATAACAAAGAACTTTCCCTTTGTTCAAAAATCAGTGGTCTCAAAAAGTTTTTCGTACTTGTGCAAATGCGACTTACTTCCTGTCACAGAGAAGCCCATAAATTCTCTGTTATCTTATGAAACACATCTTAAACAATGGCTTCTAGATACACCTATAGCATTTTCACTATTTATGTCTACCTAACCACAATATTCAACAACGTATGAATTTTATGTTATTCATATTGATATTCCTGGTTGTAACGCATTTTATTAACCATAGTCTCACTATAAATTCACCCCCTCTTTTTTAGCAAAGGAAAAAAGTTATGAGCAAAAGTTGTAGAGCGCTTTTCTTCTGATTTTAAATATATAAGGTTTGTTATGCCATAATTTAGCCAACGACTTACATTTTATGTCATTTAATCACATGAATACTAGATTGCTAGATTGAATACTGGTTTGATACGCACAAAATGAGAAGTTTTCACCAAAATAATATAATAATAACAAAACTCTACAGGATGTTCCATTTGCGAAAATACAGCCTTAATCGATAGCACTTTTCTTACCTGAACAAGATTTTACTTGAAGAACTTCATAATAGACTCTATAACCTTTGTATAGAACATCCTTTTCTTAACGGATTTGTGAATAAACTATCATTATTGAAAAAATCATGTGCAAATAGCTCGGATCTCCTCCCAAATCTCCAGGACAAATTCCTCTAGTAATGCTTCGTTTTCGAAACACTGAGAGTGAAAGGTTTTTGACACATCGTTAGTAGCTACAGGTGTATTAGATAAAACAGAATAAAAAAGTTAGTCAGAAAAGCATGAACTCCAGAGGGGGAAGTTAATTCACTGTTTAAGTCAAATCTATAGTGAAAAGCAGACTCGAATACAAGACATAGATAAAAATAAAAGTGCTGCTTCGTTGCGATCACATTAAAAACAAATGTTAGTGTGTTCTATAATAGATTTCAACTAGAAAGTGCTGCGACCATCTCTTTATGCAAAAATACTTAAATATAATATTGCAGTCATCTCTCTGGCTACACTTTCCCTGCTTCCAACGCTTTCATTTATTCAGTGCGGTATCTGGTACCTGGTTATACCCAGCCCTGACTCAGGACCGATCAAGAGCCCTTGGTCACCAGCCTAGCTAAATAAACAGCTCTCTCATTACCCGGAACACCACTGTATCCAAGAACCTAAAGCTTATTTAGATCGGACCTTAGTAGGAGTGAATTATAACTTTAGTGGTATGTCCAAATCTTAGATATAGCAAGTTGATAAATGGGAGCACGGAATTGTGATGAGAAAACATGAAGCAAGTCTGTATTGGGTGCAAAAGTCTTTTCCTAACTCTAACAGTTGAAAGCTTGACTGCGATCAACGACAGAGAAATACGAGTACTTTACTACTAGTATATGTCTGGAAAAGTGTTCTAACGTATTCACCACAAAAACCTATATCACGCAATTCGAATGCTCTGCCTTTTTGTTCCATAACGTTTTTTATACAGGATGATTTAAAATGACGCGTTTAAAATACGCCAGTAGAAACTGTAGATGGTCTCCGACAAAGAATGTTCCACCATAGCCAGGAAATGAAAAAAACATCCAAATGCTCTGGAGAGTGCAGCAAGGCATAGTTCGTCGAGCTCAAGAGTGTCTTAGGCAAGGTGGTGCTCATTTTGAACAATTTTTGTAATTATTATTTACGTTTATTAGTTTTGTTGCCATCATCATTTGTTATTGTTAAAACCCATAGCAACGCTACTCAGATATTATCCAAAGCAACTTGATTATTATGTTATAAAAATGTTTTATTATCATGGTACAAATAGTGCATTGCAACTTTTAAAAACAAATATCTCTAAAACTAGTAGCTTTAGACACCTCTAACAAGTAAACCTTTTTTGTTATGGAAATACGGGAAAATAAGATTTTTCGGTCAGTTGTTGTATACAGGGTAGCAAAAAATGTTATGATAAGTTATTTACCGAAATAGTACTGTAGGTGGCGCCCTCTAGAAATTTGGCCATACAAAATAACGGATTCTTGATTTTTATACTAGAAAACCTCTCTATACTGAGTTTTGTGCCAAAATCGGAAATACACCTCAAGCAATAAGGAAAAGTAGAAAATAAAATTGTAACTTTGACACCCTGTATCTCGCAAACTATCAACTTTTGGACTAAGGTATGCTTAGGGTCAATTCACATATTTTGGTCAGTAGCATCTCTAGTTTCGAGATTTACCAGCCTTTTGCAGACACCGTGTATAGTGACGAAAGAGCAGTTTTTGATAATAATTGGTCAAGCTCTATGAATAGGTAAGCATTATTCATATTTTGACGAAATTTTGACGCAAAGTCACCACCATATCAGTGACAAACTTGTCGTGCTTTTTCGA